AAAAAAAAAAAAAAAAAGAAAACAGACAACCCATTTTTGTAATGGACAAAAGACTGAACCTTTCACCCCACAAAAGTATATGAATGGCCAATTAGCACATAAAAAGATGTTCAATATCATTATTCATCAAGGAAATACAAATTAAAAACACATGATTTGCTACTTTGTACCCAATAAAGTTGCTAAAACCTAAAAGACTGACAATACCAATTATGAACAAGAATGTGGAATAACTGGAAGACTCATGCATTTCTGCACAGAATATACTATGGTACAAACAGTAGAAAACAGTTTGGCAGTTGCTGATACAATTAACCATACCCCTTGGCCCAGAAATTCCACTAAACATGTACCCCCCGAAAATGAAAACATCCACAGAAAGATGATCTTTAAAGGAATTTCTATAGAAGCTTTATGCATAATAGCCAAAAACTGGAAACAACCCAAAAGTTCATCTAGAGACAGGATAACAAATTATGGTACAGTCATACCATGGAATTCTACTCAGCAATTAAAAGAAAAATGAATGAACTACTGATATAAGCAACACTATGGATTAATCCAATTATCAATATGCTCAGGGAAAGAATGCAGACACAAAAGAGCACACTGTAAGATTTCATATACACAAAGCCCAATAATCATGAAATGAATCTGTGGGGACAGAAATCAGCAGCAGTTGTCCATGAGGAGTGGGAAGTGACTGAAAGGTGACATGAAAACATTTGGGGTAGTGAAAGAGTTCTGTGTCTTGGGTGGTGTGTTGGTTACACTGACATATGTATTTGCCAAAACTCATCAAATTGTACAACTAACGTGCATTTCACTCAGTATAAATTTTACTTCATTAAAAAATTCATCTAATTGTACCCTTATATTTTATTGCTTTGATTTACTTATACTTATTTATTGATTTATTTATACTTATTTATTACAAAAGCTTGAAAATGCAGTTATAAGCTATTAAATCCTCAAATACAGCAAAATCTACAAATCAAAATTAATATGAGGACAAATATATTCAGAAGGAATTTTATAGCCTTAAATACATTTATTTTTTAAAATAGAAAATAAAAATAGCTTTGAAAAATGGCAAAAAACAAGACAAGAAACCTAAGAGATCAAGAGAAATTATAAGAAAACAAAAAAAGATTTGATAAATACATCTAAGAGCTAATTTCTTTGCAAATATCAATAAAATGGACAAACCTCTTGCAGATTTAAACAACAGAAACATTTAAATCATTAAAAGCAAGAATTAGGCTTTATTCACAGATATAAAAGTATTTTATAGGCCGGGCATGGTGGCTCACGCCTATAATCCCAGCACTTTGGGAGGCCAAGGTGGGTGGATCACGAGGTCAAGAGATCGAGACCATCCTGGCCAAATGGTGAAACCCTGTCCTACTAAAAATACAAAAATTAGCTGGGCATGGGGGTGCATCTTTGTAGTCCCAGCTACACGGGAGGCTGAGGCAGAATTGTTTGAACTCAGGAGGCGGAGGTTGCGGTGAGCCGAGATCAAGGCATTGCACTCCAGCCTGGGTAACAAGAGTGAAACTGTCTCAAAAAGAAAGTATGTTATAATGGCATAAGAAATTTAAACACAGTAACCTGAGCTACAAATTCTAAAACTAAGGATGAGACACATGATTTTCTAAAAACATATAAACTTCCAAAAATGACTTGAGAAAATAGTTCATCTGGATATCAGTAATCATGGGAGAAGTTGAAATTTTTGCCTAAGAACTCCAAAAGCTGATTTATGTCCAGACAATTTTACAAGTGAGTCCTACTGAAGCTTCAAGGAAAGATAATTAACATGCAATGTAAGTTCTTCCAGAGCAGAGAAAAAGATGGCAAACTTCCAATTCATTTTCCCAAACCACCAATACTCTAATACCAAAGCCCACACACAAATACAGCACAAAAAAGGAAATCAAAAACTAATCTCACTATTAATATAAATAACATGCTAATCCACTAGCATGTTAAATACACTAGTCAATTAATTAGTCACATCAATACCTCTGAAGATTAAAAATAATTATTTTAATAATTGCAAAGATTAAAAATAATTAAAATGAATGCAATATTAAAATAAATACAAAAGCCTCCTGAAAATAGAAGAAAATTTTCTTAATGTAATAGAGAATAGTTACCACATATTGATAGCCAATGTTATGGTTAATGATAAAATATAGGGTGCATTGTCATTAAATTCAGGAAGAACAGTTACTGTTTTGCATTTTTCTGTAAGTTATAGCCAATGTAATAAAGGACAATTTTTTAATTGATAATTTATTTTTTAATTATTATGGATATATAATAGTTGTACACATTTATGTAGTACATGTGATATACTGATACAAGCATACAATGTGTAATGATCAAATCAGGATAATTGCGGTATCTACCACCTCAAGCATTTATCATTTCTTTGTGTTAGAAACATTCCAATTTCATTCTTTTAGTTGTTTTGAAATACACAATAAATTATTGTTAAATAGGGACAAACTTATCTCTATTTTCAAGTGATTCTTCTGTATATGGAAAAACCTAGGTAAATAAAATGAAAATGTACCAATAGAAGTCAGTAAGATAGCTTAAAAAGATACCAAAGTCAACAATATAGATATAGATATTGACATTGATAGATATAGACATAGATCTCAACAGTAGTCACTTAAGAAACTTAACAGGAAAAAAGCTCCATCTTCAACAATAATCAGAAACAATGCAATACATAAGAAACATCCTAATAAGAAATGCAAAACATCTTATATAATGAAAACTACCAAACTTCACTGAGGTCCAAAAAAGAAAACCTGTGTATTAGTATGTTTAATAACATAAACATAGGCAATTTAAATAAAGATACCAATGAAATGCTTAAGAAGTAAACTCAATGATTTCAATGTTCATTTGAAAGAATAAACAAGTTATAACTGACAAATTATTTTAAAAGATGCTTAATAGCATAATAAAAGATATATAATATCTTTGTGTTTTACCAAATACAGTTATGCATTGCTTAATGACAAGGATATATTCTGAGAAATGCATTATTAAGCAATTTTGCTGTTGCACAAGAGTGTACTTACACAAATGTAGATGGCATAGCCTACCACACACCTAAGCTATATGGTATTGCCTATTGCTCCTAGGCTACAAACCTGTACAGTATTTATTGTATTGAATACTATAGGTAATTGTAACACAATAATAAATACTTTTGTATTTAAACCTATTTAAATGTAGAAAAAGTACAGTAAAAAACATACTATAAAAGATAAACAATGGTACACCTGTATAGGGTGCTCACCATAAATGGAGCTTACAGGACTGGAAGTTGCTCTGACACAGTCAGTGAGTAAATGCGAAGGCCTAGGACATTACTGTACACTATTATAGTGTTTATAAACATTTGCACTTGCTGTACAAAAATACTTTAAAGAGCTTTTTTCTAATTTTAAATTCTTTTTCTTTTTAAATTTTGCTAAAAATTAAGACACAAACACACACATTACTCTAGGCCTACACAGGGTCAGGATCATCAGTATC